CTTATGGCCGAGGGGTCCTTTCTGTTGTGAGAAGCATCGGGTGAGTTCCTATCACCTGCGAGTCAGAAAAGATTCTTGTTTCCTTCTTTTGGAAAGTGCTGCAGCTAACTCTTTTTTTTCCCCAGAGAACATCAACTGCGGGTGTAGAAGGGGTCTAACTCTTGCTCCGACTTTGGTTTTTCTTCTCTTACTGTAGCTGATGCTGTTGCTGTGGCTACTGTTGCTGCCAGCAAGCAGAACTCTGTTACAAATTGTAATTGAAATGAGGCTGGGGTCCTCACAGTCTGGCTGGAAGTCTACAGGGACTATTACCTAGCTTCAACCACCGGTACTTCCAAAAGTCACGGCCACATGTGTGGCAGCCATTGCTACAGTGACACAATGTTTCCACTCAAATGAGTTTATGCCAGTGGTCCAGGCCGGTCCATCCCAGCGTGTCAGGCCGGGGCTTTCGGAAGTACCCGTGCTTTCAGTTCTGAAAGCATAATGGGAAACTGGTTTCAGTTCCCATTTGAAATGTTTTTACAGATCCTAGTCCTTGCCCAACAAGCAAACCACCAGCACATCCGAACATCTTGTTTCCTATGCTCGATCTGGCCCACCTGTGACGGGGCTGAGGCAGAGCAGCCAGGTCGGGGAAGAGAGAGGGAGGGAGTGAGAGCACACACACACACACTCAACTCGACATGGACTTGACACGACTCGACGGACGCAGACACAAAGTGGCAGAGTCGCAAAGTCGCAAAGTCGCATAGTCGCAATCTTGGGTTCGGAACACAATGTCGCAGCAAGTCTCACTGAAGCACAAGCACTGAGGCCGAAAACTGAATGTCGAACTCAGCTTGAGTCCGGTCTTAAGTACCGGACTCAAGGTGAGTCCCGAGGGCGGCAATTTGCCTCGGGACTGAACTGAAAATCGAAGGTCTTAGCCTGGGCGCCAGAATGCCGGATGGCGCCAAGTATCAAAATCCTAAAATGCCTGAGGAGGGATTTGAGAACGGGCGCCAACTGCAGAGGGCGCCAACAGTCAGGCACCGGAGATCAGAGACTCAAAAATGAAATAGCAGCCTGGCGGGTGGTAACCCGCGGACCAGGGATCGAGCCCTGGCTGAGTCTGTAACACCACCCGTGGACTACTGAGCGATCGGGGGGCAAGGGGTTGCGGGGCACCACTAGCCTTTTGGTCCAGTGGGCTACCCCTTTCTGGGGGCCCTGGTTAACAGGCAGGTGTGCTCAAGGTAGGTCGGTTGGGGGGCGAGGGTACTGGTGGTGTAGAGCACCAGTTCTTGGCCCATAGGCCCTTGTCCTATACGCCCCACATTAAGCGGGCTTCGGGCCTTCTGGGCCACAATGGCGGGCACAACAGGCAAATCGTGCTGGTGGCTTGGCATGCAGGGCGTTTCCAGCATCGGGGAAAATTGCATCCGAAGTATTGGTGCTTTAAGTAACCTTAAAAAAAAAAAAAAAAAAAAACAACGCCCCCTCCAGTGCTAGTGGTGCTGGTAAGAGCAGACACCACGAACACCATTTTTTATAATTTTTTTCTTTTTTTTTTTGAACTTCATATGCGGGAAAAACCTACTTAACAAGGTGATATGAGCATCCTCGTTAAGTAGGCCCCAGTGCCGAAGGCTCCATCTACACCTGCTGGAAATCGTGTCCAGCCTCCCTATACAAAGATGTGTTGTGTATCAGCTGGAAATCGGGCCCAGCGTCCCTATGCAGTGATGTGTGGATATGTCCTACTGTGTATCCAGTATTGTCAGTATATGTTCATCAATATATGACGCATGAAGGAAGAAACCTTATCTACCCTATCCACCTTATCTACTATAAACCCTAAGAATGATGTGATGTATGTGAGCTGGAAGTCAGGCTCAGCGTCCCTATACACTGATGTGACAGTGTGCAGATGTCGAAGTGCACATACAATCCAGTCTGTATGTAATCGCTTAGTAGAGGCATTGATTACTTCCCTATGCAAGGGAAGGATTGACCTCCTGCCCGTGAAGTATGATCCCAACGAAAAGGTCACGAAAAGCATCTTCATCACTCACCCCAACAAGGAACTCAATCAAAACTCAAAACCCTAAACAGCCTAACTCCTCATGAGGGCAATCAACACCCCTTCGTTGAGGGCCGATCACCCCCAGTCAATGAGGGGGAGATCATCTATCCTACTCTGACCCGGTGCCAGACAATGAGAAACGAATCACCCTGTAAAAACACCGGGTAAGGAAGGAGGGGACCAGTAAAACTCACCTTCAACTCCAAGCCCCGCCTTGCCAGCACAAAGAAGCCGCCAATTCCCCCCCACTGCACTGAAGATGGTGTTATGATTGCTTTTATCTTTGCTGCTGTCGTTATGGCGGCCTTTGCCATTGCCCGCGTTGTTGTTGTTGTTGTTGTTGTTGTTGCCATTGCGACTGTTGTCGGTGTTGTTGTTGTTGTTATTGATGTCGTTGCTGTAGTTGCTTCTATTTCTGCTGTTGTCGTCACCACCGTTGCCATTAGCCCCAACTCCACCTCCCACTCACCTGCTGTTGCCATCAGCCTCAACTCCACCCCCCACTCACCTGCCTCATCAAGGGCACATTCTCTCTCGCTATGGTCCCCAATGCCCTGCTGAGGATGAGAATTGCCGCCGACGTCGATCGCTGTTGTTGTTGTTGTTGTTGATGTTGTTGCTGTATTTCCTTCTGTTTTCGCTGTCGACTTCTCCGCTGCTTCTGCCCCCTTTGCCAATAGTCCCAACTCCACGTCCCCCTCATCTGCCTCATTAAGGGCATGTTCCCTCTCACCGTCGACGACGACACTGTCAGCCTCGACCTGATAAGAGAGTGCCATCAGGTTAACCCACGACTCTCCTGCCCCCCCTTATGCTCATCACTATCACACACAGCAACCTCACGGCTCGTCTCACCTTCGGTTTCCCAATTTTCACACACTGCACAAATATTTGCATGGTAGTTGACCACATCTTCTTCATCTTGCCCACTTTCACCATCCTCTGCAGGCAAGACGTTGTCTTCATTGTGGAAAAGAATATCGTCCAATTGAAATGCTCCATGTTGTAGCTCCCCCTCCAACTCCATCACTTACCCAGAAAGCTGCACCCCTAAAGCAATTCCTTGCCGTTCTCACTGCTGGCACTACCCCTGCCCGCTCATCGCTGACGTCCACGTCACCAACAGCGGATGGCATGTGGCAATCAAGGAGCCACGCACGTCTGCCGGGCGCGCGCACAGGCCTACCAGCCCAGGAGCTCCCCTCCCCAGGCGCTAGTCTATCCAGAGGGATTGGGCCTTAGCGGTCCGCCAGCATCAGGGCTCTAGTGCTAGCGCAGACTTTCGCGCTCTTTTCACCCCTCTCGATATCGAGGCAACCTGCCTGAGCCCCACTCGTCCTATGTTGTCCTAAGCAAGGACGATCATGGTGGAGTCATGACAACCATGGCCGACTGCTCCCGGCAATCACCGTGTGTCTTGACACCGCTAACACCTGGGGAGAGGCTGACACTGCTAACACCTGGGGAGAGGCTCCATCTATTGGTGGGGAGCATCACCTGCTGGAAAACGGGTCCAGCGTCCTATATACAGAATGAATTTATAGTGCTTTAAGTAACCTTAAAAATTATAAAAGCTAAAATATAAAAATTATAGACGCTAAAATCTACCCTCTGATTAAGACCTGTGTTAAATTCCGGGCCGCCCGGCGTCCCCCGGTTCGATGCCGGGCGGGCCCAGCGCATTTTTTTTTTGGGGGGGGGGGGGGCCTGTTTCGACATTTCTGGGCCTTGGGAGCCTCCCCGCCCCCCCGCGCAAAATTTTTCTGGCGCGCGCCCGCTTCGAATTCGAAGCATCCCGCCCCGTCGCACTCCCGCCGTCGACGCCCGTTGCTGCCCGTCCCGTCGACGCCTGACCGTCGCTGCCCGCCATCGCCGAGGTGCCCGTCGTCACTGTCGCCGCTGCTCCCCGTCGTCGTCGATACGGTACCGTTGCGCGAAGTGCCACGTGTCAGCTCTTTCTCTCTCTCTCTCTCTCTCTCTCTCTCTCTCTCTCTCTCTCTCTCTCTCTCTCTCTCTC